AAAGAAAGAAAGAAAGAAAGAAAGAAAGAAAGAAAGAAAGAAAGAAAAGAGGAAGAGGATCGGAGAGGTGGCCCAAGAGGTTGAGAGCACTGGCTGCTCTACTGGATTATCTGGGTCGGAGTCCCAGCAGCCACATGGCAGCTCACAACCATGACTCTAGTCCCAGGGATATCACAGCCTGCTCACAGGGTGCAAAGACCCTACGTTAAGGCAAAACACTCCTCCACATAAAATAAATACATTGCCTTTATTGAAGTGCAAGAAGAGAACTGATTCCCAAACTGACCGCCCAGACACACAGACATTCACACCCACTAATAATGATAAATAAATACAACTATATATACAGTTCATATATATGAGAGTAATCATGCTCACGGCGCGTTATTTGGGTGATAGAGAAAATCATATCAAAGGGGATTAAAACTTGAAGCCTGTGGACAGAGGTATGTGAAGTCACAGAGCCACTGACAAGGGGCTGACATGGGGAGGCAGAAACTAACATTCAGGCGCTGTGAATGTCACCTCAGTGACTGCACAAGGTAGGTATGGCTGCCGCTAGGCTGTTGACAGCCTAGACTGAGAATTTTACCATCTCCCGTGTTCAAATGCAAGGCTGGGTTTTAAATTCTGCTTTGGTTTGGCTTCAGCCTGTGCTCCCTCCGCCACTTGCTGACCCAGCGGCATTTCTAGGAACCAGCCCTGTTGATATCAAGTGCACACGTTGGAAATGACGTCAGTCCAAGGCCACTTGGCACGACAGGTTTGTCAGAGCTGTAACGTGGAAGTTACTTTCCATGAATCGGATGCTGTTTAAACACAGGCACGGTCACACGCTGGCACAGAAGCTGGGTGGCCAGTCGGGGTACTGATACAGAAAGGTCTCTGAAAGAGAAGTTTTCCTAAAAAGGGCAATGGACAGGGCTGTGGACACACCGCACTGCCACTCTATTTTTTTAACATTTGTTTTATTACTTGGTGCATGTGGGGGTTTTGCCTGCGTCTATGTCTGTGCGCCGTGTGTGTGTGTGTGGTGCCCACAGAAGTCAGAAGAGGGTGTCATGTCAGATCCCCTGGACCTACAGCTATAGCCAGGCATGAGCCACCACGCGGGTGCTTAGATTGAGCCAGGTCCTCTGTGTGAGCAACAAGTGCCTTTAACAACTAAGCCAACTCTCAGCCCTACGCTGCCATTTTTAAATTTTGTTTAAAAGGAAAAAAGAAAACATATATAGATGCCAGGGTGTTACTTGGCACCAGTGTCTGGAAATGGAACCCCAGACTTCAAAATGGAGTCCGAACCCTGGGGGATCGTTGGGAAATGCAGGCTTGTGCTGCGGGTCCTGAGATCAGATTGTGCCCTTTGAGCGCCTGGAGTACAGGGAGGCTGCTGATGGAGTGGAAGGCTCTGGACCAGACAGGGACACATGCTAACAGTTACGTAATGTCCCCTAGAGAAAGAGGGAAGAAAGGAGATTTTATTGCATTTCTTTTAGTGCCTGTGACTCAGGAACCATGTGGTGTATTATCTAGTAAAATTAAGATTAGTCCAAAGGGCTGGCCAGATGGCTGTGTGGATAATGGTACTTTCCATCAAGCCTAATGACCTGAGCTCAAGCTTTAGAACTTACATGGCAAAAGAGAACCAACTCCCACAAGTTGTCCTCTGACCTCCGTGAGAGCCCGACGCCACACACACAAAAATAAATCAATGTACTTCAGTGTCAGAGTGTTGGCCTAGAATGCGTAAGGTCCAGTTTGGATTCTCAGCACTATTAAACAATAATCAGAATGCTAACAGTGATCATAGTGATAATAATAATGAGCCAGTGGTGATAGCTCTCACCTTCAATCCCAGCACTTGGGAGGCAGAGGCAGGCAGATCTCAGAATTTGAGACCAGCCTGGTCTACAGGGTGAGTTCCAGGGCAGCCAAGGTTACACTGAGAAACCCTGTCTCAGAAAACCAAAATAATAATAATAATAATAATAATAATAATAATAATAATAATAATAAACAGTAATAATAACAACAACAGTATCCACATGTATATACATTCCCGGTCCTCGGGATATAGCATGGAGCCCTCTCTCCAGTGAAGCCAGGCTTTGTAAGAGCTGCCCATCCACTCTCCTTGCCCTGCTCCTCAGGCCTTATCCACTGGGCCCCAGTGTCCTCTTCCCCTGGGTGGTAACGCAGCACATTCACAGAGCTGTCGGGACTGGCACCCCAGGGAGGCAGTAGTGATGGCCGTGACAACAGGTAAGCATAGTGGGATTGCTCTCGTTTCTAGGGGGCTGGTCCCTGTTCTCTCTCGGTGTGTACGAGTGTTTTGCTTACACACGTCTGTGTGCCACTTGAGTGCCTGGTGCCCACAGAGATGAGAAGAGGACACTGGATCCCTGGGAACTGGAGATACAGACAGTTGTGAGCTTCCATACGGGTGCTGGGAATGGAACCAGATCCGCTGAAAGAGCAGCCAGTGCTCTTGGCCACTGGGCCATCTCCAGCCTTGGAACCCTGCTCTTGGGTTGATTCAGTTGGGTTTGGCTTGTGGGGCGGAGAGGAGTGAGGCGGGGGAGGGGCCTGTGAGGGCTTTGCCTATGGTGCTCATGTTGTACTGACCCTCAGCTCTGACTGGCGTTTGCTCAGACCCTCCCAGCAAGCCCATCACGCTGCACTTACCACCACTTCTTCATCAAAGACCCTCTCGCCCTCGTTCACCTTCTGGAGCTCCGTGTGTTCGTACTCATGCGACGGATCACCCATGAAGCGGCCACTCACCATAGCCGTCTGGGTGGCCATCTCCTCCGTGGCAGGGGGCAAGAGGCTCCATTCTGTGCAGTTCAGGCTGCCAACAACACCCACATCACCCAGGAGTCCAGCTGCCCTCGCACCGTGCTCCCTCCACCCTCCCTCATCACAGGGGCTTTGAAAACACCTTCACCCCAGGACCCTTCAAAGCCTGTGTGGGACAGTCCACCCTGACTTTGGATACACATTCCGTTTGATGTACTTTTCCCTTACTTTAAAATATTTTACTGGGCTGGAGAGATGGCTCGATGGTTAAGAGCACTGTCTGCTCTTCTGAAGAACCCGGGGTTCAATTCCCAGCACCCACACGGCAGCTCACAACTGTCTGTAACTCCAGTAACAAGGGATTGACACCTTCACACTGATGCACAGAAAAATAAAATTAAATAAATCATTGAAAAAATATTTTACTTTGGGAGCTAGAGATAGAGCAGTTAGAAGCACTTCTGCTCTTCCAGGGGACTCGGGACTACTCCTCAGCACCCAAATGGTGGCTCGCGACTGTCTGTAACCCCAGTTCCAGAGGATCTGATGCCCTCCTCTGGCCTCTGTAGACACCAGGCACACACAAACATACATGCAGGCAAAACAGCCATGCACATAAAATAAAATTTTAGCAATATTTTTAAAGGTGAGGCAGAGGGGCTGGAGAGATGGCTCAGTACATCTCTCTTGCTGCTCTTCCAGAGGACCCAAGCTTGGTAAGCACAGCACGTATGTCTGTGCGTCCATATGTCACATAGTGCATGACTGGATCCCCTAAAGCTGGCGTTACAGGCAGTTGTAAGCTGCTCGTTGTGGGTGCTGGGAACCAAACTTAAGTCTTGTGAAAGAACAGCATGGTTTTTTGTTTGTTTTGAGCCACGATCTCTCTGTCCTGGAACTCGCTCTGTAGACCAGGCTGGCCTCAAACTCACTGCTGGCCTATCTGACTGGTCCTTAAAACATTTTATCGGGGGCTGGCAAGGGGGCGCAGCAGGTAAAGGCCACCACGCTTGACAACCTGAGCTTAATCCCGGGAGTCCATGTGATGGAAGGAGGGAACCGCCTCCTGCAAGTTGCATCCAACTTCCCCAGGTTTGCCTCGATGCACACGGCCCAGCATGTGCGGCGCAGGCCGCCGCCACCCCACAAAGAAATGTCTGTCTGTCGCCCATGCTGATCTTGAACTTGTGTCCAAGTAATTCTCTGGCTCAGCATCCAGAGCAGCTGACAGTATCGCAGGGCATGCGGCACCTCAGCCAGCCAGTTCATCTCCTGGGTACACAAATGTGCTGGTTTGGGCTTTGGACTTTTGTTTGTTTTGTTTTGTTTTGTTTTCTCTGTGTAGCCTTTACTGTCCTGGACTCAATTTGTAGACCAGACTGGCCCCGAACTCAGAGATCCACTTGCCTCTGCCTCCTGAGTGCTGCGTCATCACATCCAGCTAAATGTGCTGGTTTGGGGGCTAGTGTTTTGTCTAATAATTTGACAGTTGCTCAGCCATAGTGATATGGGGAAGGTCCAAAGACCTTCTTTGTGCCCAACTTCAGAGAGAGGTCATGCCCTGCAACAGCAAAATCCACAGCCACCAGCAGAAAGGCCTGGCTCTCTACCAGCATAATTTTGATTTGCTTGTTTATTTTTCAAGTAGAACTATGAATACTTTTACATTTTTAGCGGCTACATCCTCAGCTGCTTACTAAGTCTGAGGCCACACTGAGCTACCTGAGACCCTGTTTATCAGATAGCTTACAACGAGCCCATGGTAAGTGTCCTAGTTAGGGTTACTGTTGCTTCTGTGAAACATGACGACCCAAGCAGCGTGGGGAGGGGAAGGTTTATTTGGCTCACACTTCCACATCACTGTTCATCCTTGAAGGAAGTCAGGACAAGAACTCAAGCAGGGCGGGAACCTGGAGGCAGAAGCTGATGCAGAGGCCGTGCTTAAAACTTATTGCTTACTGGCTTGCTCAGCCTGCTTTCCTATAGAAAACATCCCAGGACCACCAGCCCAGGGATGGCACCACCCCGCCCCTCACTAAAAAAGTGCCCTCCAGGCTCATCTGCCAGCCTGATCTTACTGAGGCATTTTCTTAATTGAGTGTCTCTCCTCTCCGATGGCTTTAGCTTACGTCAAGTTGCCGTGAAACTACCCAGCACAGTTAAGTTTAAAATGTTTATAAGTCTAAAATGCTTTTAGTGCCCTAAACTACCCAACACCGCAACTTAGAGACCCAGCCTGCTTGGGTTGCTGCTTGCTGCCACTGCTCAGGACTGGATGAGAAAATGAAATCACAAGTCACTAGCCCGGGACTAGATCGGAGTTCAGTGCAAGACCTGCGCTCTCTACTGAATATTTTGAGATAGGATCTTCAACTTAGCCCAGGCTGGCCTTGAACTCCTTCTGTCTCGGTTTCTCAAGTGCTGGGTTTGAAGACCTGAGGCAAATCCTGCTGTGCAGGTTCTCAATGGTGGGCAGGGCCAGCACTCAATAGTAAGCAGTAGCCGACCTTTGGGACCGACCAACCTTGAACTCCTCACCACCTTCATCCAATCGGTCACAGCCTCCCTCTTATATCTTCTACCTGCTCAGCTATTTTCCCCTTCCAAATTCTTGCCTCTGGGCACCACACCAAGGCCCCTAAAGGCTCACCCCACACAAACTTCCAAATCATCTGCCCACTCAAATCTGAGCATGCTCTTCTTGTTTATAACCCCATTGGTGTTCCCTGGTGGCCTACGGACAAAGTTCGGACTCTTGACTTCTCCAATCATGCTGCTCTGTCAAGTTCACGTCCAGTCTCTTCCCTAAACTCTCAAAGCCATTAGTCAGAGTGCAGGAGGTTCCTCTAGCTGGGAGCTGTGGGGAGATGCTCATCTTTCAGAACACTGAGCAGTGGTCAAGCTTAGTTGTTTTCCTGGAACCTGGAGTTCTTGGTATCTCTTTATGTACCCCTCAATTCTAGCATCTTTTGAGGCAAGATCTTTATTATTTTGTGTGTATGAGTGTTTTACCTGCATGTATGTATGTCTGTGTACCTCACGCATGTACAGTGCCCTCAGAGGCCAGAAGAGGGTATTGGATTCCCTGGGACTGGAGTTATAGATGGTTCTGAATTACCATGAGGGTGCTAGAGATTGAACCCCATTTTTCTGGAAGAGTAGCCAGTTCTCTGTGCACTGAGCCACCTCTCCAGTCCCAGCACAGAGTCTTCTGTAGCCCAGACTTGGCTTCAGGTTATGTATCCAAAGCTGACTCTGAACCTCTGAGGCTCCTTCAGTACCGGTTTGATGCCATGAGAAAATAAAAGAGGTCCGCAGACACCTGCAGCTTGAGTGCTTTATAACGTGGTTGGCCCCCCATCATCCTGGGGAACTCAAAAAGAGGCTGGGATGGTCCTATGCGGTAGAGTCTTACACTGAAGAATCAGCCCCTCATCCCCCGATCCTAACCCCATTTCACAAGACTTACACTTTTCCAAGAGCACCTCCCGCTGAAGAGCCTGTGAGAGATGCTTCCAAACAGCTCCAGTACAAGCCCCAGAGCATCTGACTTCTCCAGGCCAAATCCAGTCCACAGCTAGAACCTGAATTCTATACTGGGTCGCCTTCTCTAGGACCTCTCACTTTGTGCTTGCTCAGTTCAGTCCCCTGTCCATAATGAACCCATTTACACCAGTTTCTCTTGCTCCTCCACGCTGACAATGTTACCTCCCCGGACCCTGCCCAGCCACTTTCCCATCCAGAAAAGCCTCACAGTTCAGTGACACCCCAGTCACCGAGCTCTCCAACTGTCCATTTCCTTCCTCGTGCCCCACTCACAGGCTGGTTCTCAAGCGCTTCCTGCTCAGGCTGTGCCCACCCACCTCTCCCAACCGTAGCTGCACCCACTACCCTTTGTTGTCCTCCCACATCCTCACCTGCCACAGGCTCACCTCACCTGTAGAGCGTCTTGCGTGGTGCGAGCTGGTCATCACTCAGGCCCTGTGCAATGTAGTAATCCGCGACGAGGCCGAGGATGCGGCCCCAGAAAAGGACCCGATCGAAGCGGTAGTCACGCTTAACCAGCATAAGGGACGTGAGCAGCGAGGCCCGGCGGTCCGGGCTGAGTCCCTGCCCACTGCCGGACGCCAGCTCCAGCGACAACAAGAGACCGTCCGCGTCCATCAGGACAGCCGTTTTCCTCTAGGCTAGTCTGCCGGCTAGAAGCCGTCTCCATGGAAACCCTGGGCCCCACCCCCTCGGGCTAGCAGGAAACAAAATCCCACCCAGCGGACCGCCCATCTCTCCAACCCCGCCTTTTCCTGGAGCCCAGGAATAAGCCACCGAGCAATCCCTTGTCTTCTGTTGTCCTCTAGGAAGCGCCAGCCGAGCTCCACACATGCACTTCACATTAAATCCTCCACATGCCCGACAGGGACTTGGGAAGAAAACAAAACCCCAACAAGGGCGCTAGCTGTATTATTTCAGCCCGGGCAGTATCGCTTCTTGGCCTGATAATTTTATGAAGAATTTGATACCTCCTGAGTTTCTGACACCCTCTAAGCCCACCCGGAGTCAGGTTTCACCAGTAGGCTCTGTCCATCAACCAGTTTCACCTCAGAGCCCTTTGTTTACTCCCAGGACTAGTCTGACAAATGATTAGACAATGAAGTATGATATAGGGCCCACTCCTTGGAAATGATATAAAGGATGACATTTTCCAGCACTCAGGAGGCAGAGACAGGCAGATCTCTAGGAGTTCTGGGCCAGTGTGGTTTATATAACAAGCTCCAAGCCAGCCAAGGCTGCATAGTGATACCTTAAAAAAAGCCACTTAGAGACTACACATGCATGTCAGCTCCAACCTACATGTAGATAACCTACATGTAGATAGCTGTTTAGACTCAAATGGTAGCAACAGACAGAAGACCACAGCCAATGGTGGGGCTCTGCCTTCCCCAGGCTAACTTAGCCACAGCCCCAAAGTCAACAGGTCCTCCACAGGCTTGTTTCAGGGAAGCTGGGCTTTGATAGTGACTGGATTCCTTTGGGGAAGACTCACAAAGTCAAAGTGCTCTGAGCCTCCACACCAAGGCCACAAAGAAATGTGTCTAAATGGGATAATTGCTTTGTTTTGATTGCCTGGGCATTGCTCATCATAGTTGTGTGTGTGTGTGTGTGTGTGTGTGTGTGGTTTTTTTTTTGGAAGGGGACTGTTTTTGTTGTGTTTTCTTTTCTTTCTTTTTTTCAGAACAGGGTTTCTCTGTGTAGTCTTGGCTGTCCTGGACTCGCTTTGTAGACCAGGCTGACCATGAACTCACAAACCCTGGCTACTTCCGAGAAAAGCCACATTGTTACGGCACAGAGAGCAGGCTCGGCAGGCAGGTGAACAGGCTTGAATTCATGCTTCCCCATGAAGCCAGTGCTGCTCAATCTTCCTAATGCTACAACCCTTTAATGCAGCTCCTCAGGCTGTGGTGACTGCCAGCCATAAAATTATTTTCCTTGCTACTTCGTAACTGCAGTTTTTGTTACTGTTATGAATTGTGACTTAAATATCTTTCTAATGGTCTTAGATGACCCCTGGGAAAGGGAAAGGGCTGTTCCACCCCCAGGGGAGTCACAATCCACAAATTGAGAAGCACTAACTTAAGCAAACTGACCTCCCCAAACCTCATCTTTAAAATGGCAAGTAACTATACATATAAGTTGGCATTAAAGAACATGTATACGTGCCTTTTTTTCTTTTTTGAGACAGGGTCTCCTTACGTAGTCCTGGCTGTCCTGGAACTTACTGTAGTCCAAGTTGGCCTTGAATTCACAAATGTCTGCCTGACTCTGCCTCCCAAGTGGCTGTATTAAAGGCACGCACTGCCCCACCCAGCCTTGTGTGTAAGCTCTTTGCACATACAGGCACGAAGGGCCTGGGGACAGATGCACGGGAGGACAACGCAAACAATCGTCTCGGAAACGGCCTCCAGTGCGGGCACTGCAGAGGGCCACACTAAAGTATGTTGAACTGCCGTACTTAGAAGGGACGGGAAGGTGGGAAGGTTGAGAGGTGGGAGAACGCAGGAGTGAGAGTCGGGAGGAGTATGATCAAAATACATTGTTTCCACGTACGGAATTTTCAGAAAATGAGAGACACCCTAAAGAGAAACTGAACAAGGGAGGACAGGTGAAATAATCCTCACTCAGGCAATCACCCATCTAAATGACAGCCACGGAGGGGGCCTTGCCACAGCGTCCCCAACCCCCAAGACTGGACTTTCAGCTTCCAAAACGTATGAAAAAGAAACAGAATAAAAAACTTGGCCTGGTAGCCTGTAATCCAGCAGAGGTGGGAGCATCAGGAGTCCAAGGTCATTCTCTGCTACTTATCTAGTTCATGTAAACATGAAACTGTCTCAAAGGTGGTTTGTTCTGTTTGTTTTTGTGTTACTGTTGTTCCAGTCATTTCAGACACAGAATCCTAACAACCCTGGCGCAGGTATCTCCCTCAGCAGGGTGATCTTCTGCCAGCAGTGAGAGGGCCATTTTTGCTACAACAGTGGCAGGAGCCATCAAGCAATGGAGACAGGCAGGGCAAAAGCTCCACAAGTAACAGGGACATAGGGAGAAAACCCTTCAGAATTTTGGGGCAATCTGGGGAGCCAGAGCTGGGTTTCATCTGGCTTTGAGAAGAGCCTTTTGGTTTTCATCTTTCATCCTGTTCTTTGTCCCCTTCCTCTGAGATTTGTTTCTCAGATCTGAAGGGCGGAATTGATCAGGTTTACCCAAACTACTGAGACTTCGGAACAGCTGGAAGAGGCTGCCAGGCCTCCCCCACTTAGCTCCTGGTGCTCAGCACGTGGCAATGCCAAGCCAATCAACAGTGACTGCATGAAGCCTGAACACAACATCCTTTGGTCCTGACTACCCACCAGCAGCTGTGACACTTGACTCCAGGTGACCCTTTTTTGAACAGGGCTATGGCTCCTCCTTTCTGAGCTAGAACCATCTTTTTTGGGGGGATGAGAAGGGTCCTTCCTACATCCCCATTGCATATCTGCTTTTAGTCCACCACAGACCAGAGTTCCCTGCGTTCCTGGGCTCTCACAGTGAGTGGCCTGCCAAGCCAAGTTCCTTACCAGGATTTTGCCTACTGCAAAGGTGACCCCTGGCTTTGAGCATACAGACTTTAAGAGGCAAAGTTTAATCAGTATGGGGAAAGAAAGAATGTTGGTTAGAAGTGAACTGATGAGAGCTCCAGTCCTAGTTCTGTTATCAACCCACTTCTAGAACCTTGACCAAGTCACTTAATGCCACAGACTAAATCTAACAAAGAGGAAAAGAGTCATTAGCAAAAATCATGGAATCCTTGAAGTAGAAGAGGCCCAGGCAAAACCAAACACTTGCTGGGTGTAGGGATGTACCCTACAAGCACATTCTGAAGAGCACAAGTCTGACGCTCGCCTGGGATATTCCTTTAGTGCCTGGCATGTAGCTCAGTTCACACAGTGCTTGCCTACCATGGATGAAACCTGGGGTTCCAACCCCAGCACTAAAGAAACCAGGCATGGGGGCTTATGCCCAGGATCCCAGCATTCAGCAGGTCGAGGAAAGAGAATCTGAGGGCCAAGGTTACCCTCTCCTACACGAGACTTTCCAAAAAACAAAAACAACAAGAAAACAACCCTTGCACCTCAAGGCCAAAATGTCTAAGTCAAAAGTGTTAGGAAATTTTAATACAAATCCATTCATCTCTTATTTAAATTCATGAGTCACACCCACATTACGACCCTGGTTACAGTTCGGGAAAGTCATAGCACAAAGCAGAGAAGGGCCAACTCCATGCGAGTCTACTGACCCATCTGTGCTTTGTAATCTCAAACAGAACCACCTGGCCCAGGGGCCTCTGGGAGTCAATCGTTGATTCGGGGACTTTGCTTGATGAGTACCTCAGACACAGCCAAGCATCATCGGTCACCAGGAAGTCTGAGGAGAAGAGGCACACAGCCAGGACAGAGCCTTCTTCCCTCACCAGGAAGCAGCTTCAATTCCAAATAAGAGAAGGGTGCCTCGGTAGCACAGGGGGAGAGAACCCAGCCACTGTCTTCATTCATTCATTCGTGGAAACCTTTAAGTGTCACTGGTGCCTGGAACCAAATGTAATCCTCTGAAGCCACGGTTGGGACGGAAGGTCTGCCACAGGACAGGGTCACAGTGAGTTTGTGGCCCCGGCTGGGTATGCGGTAGTTGAGCTTGGGTCGGAACCAGTCTTCCCCACAGTCACGGTGCCCCTGCACCATGACAATGGTGCCCATGAGCGGAGGAACCTGCAGCTCACTGAACGCGTCGGCCATGAAGATGGCTCGGAAGAGACGACGCAAGCAAGCTGCTGTGTTCAGGCTCTGGTCCACGCTGAAGGGGGCCAGCCTGGACAAGTCGAGTTCGTAGAACTCCTTGGGGCTGAGGGCATTGCCTCCAAGAAGGATCAACACTCGCGGTACTAGTGTTCGGGCAAAGAAGTCTTTTAGGTGACCAAGGACACACTCCAGTTCTGCCAGGGTTTGTTGACATTTCCTGCTGCTCACCTCAGTGGTGACTCGAGGTTTCTTCCTTGCTGTGTCCTCTGCCTGTAAAGACAAAGAATGATGGAGGAAAAGACCATGGCACAATGAAGTGAATGCCCTTTGGAGGAACCCCATGGAGATATGTAGATAAAGTGGCCAAGACTGCATTTCTGGTATTGGGTTTTATCAGAAAGCATTACATCAAGGAAAATACATTCACTATACAAACTACAATTCTCCTGTGCCTTGAATAGCAAAGATGGTATTACAAGCCAGAAGGCATCAAAATAGAAGCAATGAAAATAGTCGGAGGGCAGTGAAATGGTTCAGCAAGGAAAGGGGCTTGCTGCACAAGCCTGGCAACCCAAGTTCAACCCCCAGAACCAAGTAAAGACAGGAAAGAATGACTCCACAAAAGTATTCTTAGATACTTGTGTACGTGGTAGCACATGTGCCAGACATGTGCGCGCACGCGAGCACACACACGCGCGCGCGCACACACACACACACACACACACACACACACACACACACACAGCAATTAAAAAAATAAAAATAAACAGAAAAAACAAACAGTAAAAAACTTGGTGGCATAGATGAAGATAGCAATTTTTGTTTTACAGGGAGTGTAACTGAATGAGGATTATTGATTATTGATTAATCAACTGAACACAGCAACCAGAACAGATGGTTGTTGAGTCTGGAGATAGGTCAATGAAATTACCTGCTCTGCAAGCACAAAGATCTGAGTTCAAATCCCCAACACCTAGGTAAAAAGCCATATCCAGCATTGAATGGCAGAGACAAGCAAATCCTGAGTGCCTGTTGGTCAGGCAGCCTAAATGAGCTTCTGATTCAGTGAGACCATCCCAAGGCAATGAGATGGAGAGCAACGTGTGCGCGCGCACACACTCACACTCATTCACACAGGCACACATAATACATGCTTTCCCCTGAAATGCTGATGATGGAAATTCAGTAAGGGAAGGAGAGAAAGAGAGTTAGCAAGAACTCCCTGTAGAGGAAGAACTGAATACGTAACATGGGCCAAAAGGCAAGAGGCTTCAGAAGATAAAAAGTGGATGGTCCCAGCACCAACAGGTGTCTGTATGTGTGTTGGGGGGATATATTAAGAGTTAAGAGAGGTGCTATCGACTGCTAGGAAAGGGGACACCAACAAGGAACAAGTCCACACTGCAGAACCCTAGACAGTGGCAGGCCCTGCAGAAGGCACGGGTAGCACTGAACAATAACCTGGGTGAGGACCTTCTCAGGGTGAATGTCTAACACTATGGTTTGGGGGGGGGGGGTTGTCTCACTGTCCTGGAACTGCCTCTGAAGCCCAGGCCAGTGCTGAACTCAGAGTCTGCCCGTCTCTCTCCTAACTGCTGGGATTAGGCTCCATCTTGGCCCTCCTGTCCTATGTCTGGGGAGTTCTCCAAAGAGATCTCCCGATGGCGTTACTCCCTCACAGGGCTCAGGCATCAGACAATGGCTTATGCCGACATACTCGGCAGACAGAATAAAAAGTTCCAACCTAAAACAGCAAAAGCCAAACGAAATAAATAGGAAAAGAATTCTGGAAGACACTTCAAGACACTGGGGTGGGAGGGACCCTTAAAAAAATAAAGAGAATGTCACGGTCCTGAAGGACATGGAGGCCATAATCCTAGCACCCAGGCTGAAGTGGGAGGAACACTGAAATTCACAAACTAACTGGACCACGAGCCGGCCATGGTGGTGCACGCCTATAGTTGCAGCACTTGGGGAGGCAGAGGCATCTCGATCTCTGTGAGTTCAAGGCCAGCCTGGTCTACAGAGAGAGTCCAGGACAGCCAAGGCTACATAGAGAAAGCCTGTTAGAATCTAAAGTCTAGAAAGTTTCTCAAGAAAATAAATTAAAACAAAACCAGAAACAGGTGACAATGTGGTGAGAAAAAAATTTAAATGTAGAGTGCCAGTTCAGGTCTAAGGTTACAGCTTAGTAATATAGCACTTATCTGGCATGTGAGAGGCCTTAAATTCCCAAGAGTGTAAAGGAGGTGTAATGAGGAAAAGGGGAAGAAAGAGACCATTAATCATAGCACTCAGGGAGGCAGAGGCAGGCGACTGCTGTGAGTTCGAGGCCAGCTGGTCTATAAAGAAAATCCAGGACAGTCAAGACTACACGGAGAAACTCTGTCTCACAAAACCAAACAACAGAAAGAAAAAAAAATTGAAAGGCCAGGATATGATGGTGTACACCTGTAACCCTGCGAGTCGCAGGGGGAGTTGAGGCAAACAGATCTGAGGCCAGCCTGAACTACCTAACTGAAATTCTGTTTCCAAAAAAAAAAAAAGTAAAGAAGAAATTCATGATGTCCTCACAAAACACATAAGTAGTCTCAGAAAAAGAACAAGAGAAAAAAAAGCAAGAGACCCAAGTGGAGAGAAAACAAGGCAAGGAAGCCTTTGCAAAAGCCTAGACTTCCACGGAAGCTGAGGATTTCCTAGATCACTTTTCTACTTGCCCACCACCATCTAAGACCCACAAAGTCTTCCCACCGGTTTTCTCAGAAAGCCTGTACGCACCTGGGGAGATGATTTTCGGTAGAAGTGCTTAAGCTGTTCATAGGGCAGAGGGAGCTGTTGGCGTTGGTACATGATATGCTTTAGAAGTTCACAAGTGAACTGGCAGCAGCCTTCCTGGCTCACGGGCCCAGGAAATACCACCGGCACCAAGTCTCTCGGGCAAAAGGGCTCCGAAGGCTTGGACGGTTCCTGGGCCGATGTGATGACGGTCTCCAGATCTACCTGGGGAGCATGAGTTTCTTCCGACTTCTCAAACCAATCCAAATCTAATCCGTGGGTGAAAGGGTAAAGGTAAGGGGGGGATCAAAATCAGCGTCAGTCTTCTCGTTCTCAGGGGCCACACCAGCAGACACCCCCATAGGTGACAGGAGACCTAATTCTGGCTGGGGGCGATTCAAATGACAGCCGGGCCTGGAGGGGACTTTCGGAGGCAGAGACTAGGGCTTCGTTATTGAGTGTGGAGTGGGGGCCATCACCCAAAGGGACACAGCAGGGCGAGGGAGTGACCGCAGAGTCAGGGCGGACTGTGACACCGGGAAACAAGAGCACAGGGAGACACAACAGAGGAAACTCCATGCCTCTGGGGAGGCAGCAGCAGGAAAGAATCGGGCCCCCCAAGTTACCGATCCCACTCCTTACTTGGGTCATCAGAGGGGGCCAGCTCCGACAGAATCTCCGGCCAGGATGCAGCCATGGCGACTACCAGCTTAGTCGTCCTGCGGTTAAAATAGACGCCGCGAGGAGCATCATGGGAAGCTTAAACTCCACTTCCGGCTCCTCGCCGCCGGAAAGGACTCGACGCAATCGCTGAATGGTGGAGGTTGAACTCGGAAGAGTTGAGCCACACCCTGGCAAGGGGAACGCTCGGCCCTTCCCATTTAAGAGATCCTGGCGCCTACCGGGGCGGGGCCTGCCTTCCTAAGGGCGCGTCCATTCACTTGCGCCTCTGCTCACCTTCACCTCAGTCGCCGCGCTCCTACTTCATGGCAGGCCCTGTCCTAGGTGCTGGAGACTCAGCCATGGTCAAGCCAATCTCTTCTGTTCTCAAGGGGTTCATTGACTGCTCTGGGCGGTTGGGGCCAGGTTAGGTCACACGGAAAGGGTGGTTCCCGGAATGTGTGTTCTGTGACTGTAGAGTTAGTAAAAAGGTAAAAAGGATGACCCCAATGAGATTTTTGATGGACAACAAAAGCACCGTCAGTTCCAGGATAGCCAGGGCTGCAACAGAAAAACTCTTGTCTCAAAAACACCAAAAACCAAACCAAAACAAAAGCAATCATTTTCATTTATATTTTGTAAGCATAACCTTTACACTTATTACAGTATAGAAGATTGACTTACAAGGAAGATGAGGCAGGGTTATCAGTTAGGGGTAGTGATTACAGTGATCCAGTACTTGGTGGAAAAGGCTGGAACTGAGAAAAACTTGAGACGAGGTCTCACTGTGTAGCTGTGGCTGGCCTGGAACTCACAGAGATCTGCCTGGATTTGTTTATTTGGAGATAGGATTTCATTTACCCCAGGCTAGCCTTGAATTCCCTGCGTAATCAAGGACGATCTGGAACCCCTCATCCTCCGTGCTCTGAAGTACTGGGCTCATAGGCTTGCACCACGAGGATTTCCACTGTGCTCTTTACATACTTGTTTACACAGGGCTGGGGAATGACCCTTGGACTTTGTGCAGGTTAGGCAAGCACTCTACCAACTCAGGTACATCCCAGATCCCCCCCCACAAACACACACCCGTCTCTAAGTGCTGACATTTCAGGCATGCACTACTAGGCCTGTCTATCTGAGGTGTTCCAAGGCAACATTTGTTGGCACTGAATGGCATTAAAGCTATCAACACATGCAGTGCAAAATTTTTAATGTTATGGCCCAGTGTGTTGGTGCTCTAGGAGGCAGAGGCAGGTGGGTCCCTGTGAGTTCAAGGCTAGCTCAGGCTACATAGCCAGTTCCAGGACAGATAGGGCTACATGGAGAGACCCTGTCTCAAAACATTAATTAATAAAATAAAAAAAATTGGAGCAGTCTGGAAAGATGGCTCAGCAGTTAAGAGTACTAGTTGCTCTTCCCAAGAACCCCAGTTCTAATCCCAGCACCCACATCAGACAGATCACAGGCAATCTGACACTTTCTTCTGGTCTCCGCAGACAACCGCTAACATGCATATATCCACATACATCTCTGTGTGATTAAAAATGCAGGCCAGACCTCTGCCATCATGGCTGTCATGCACGCTCCTAGGAAGAGCCTGTCCCAGTCTGCCTTGCCCCTGATCTCCCTGAAGATCTGTACCAATGGATTAAGAAAGCAGCTGCTGTCTGCAAGCATCTTGAAAGGAACAGAAAGAATAAGCATGATAAATTCCGCCTGATTCTGATAGCAGAATTCAGGGGTTGGCTCATTTCTACTATAAGACTAAGCAGGATGGGCACAGTGGTGCACGCCTGTGATCCCAACACTCAGGGAGGCAGGGGCAGGCAGATCTCTGTGAGTTCCAGGCCAGCCTGGTCAACAAAGAACAAAGCCAGTCCAGGACAGCCAAGGTTACATAAAGACACCCTGTCTCAAAAAAAAAAAAAAAACCTAAGCGAAAATACATCCACATACATATATAATTTAAATTTTTTAAAAGATTCATTTGTTTATTCTGTATACAATGATCTGTCTGCATGCCAGAAGAGGACACCAGATGTCATTATAGATGGTTATGAGCCATCATGTGGTTGCTGGGAATTGAACTCAAGACCTCTGGAAGAACAGCCAGTGCTCTTAACCTCTGAGCCATCTCTCCAGCCCTTCTCTGTGTTTTTGTCTGTTTGTTTTGTTTTCTTTTTTTGAGACAGATTTTCTTTGTGTAGCCTGGGCTGTCCTGGAACTAGCTTTGTAGACCAGGCTGGCCTCAAACTCCTGGCTAAAAATAAAATCTTAAAGGTTGTTTTTGTTTGTTTGTTTGTTTGTTTGGAATGTTATATGTTCAGAACCAAGACTGCCATGCAGTCACACAATACCGTATGAAGCTGCAGGCTCATCACATACCTGATTCTGAATTAATTCTTTGTTATTGTGTTTTCAGAAGCCTTTTGCTATTGCCAAAATTTTCACAAACCCCACATTCAGTCACATGACTCCTTTTTGAAGTTACAATGTGTATTTGAAGAAGCTTTGAACTTGGTCCCAGAAGGTGGTAAGAGAATAAGTGAACCCTAGAGATATTTAGAAAGATGTCCAGTGATCCAGGAAGCAATGGTGCACGCCTTTATTCCCAGCGCTCTGGAGGCAGAGGCAAGTGGATCTCTGAGTACAAGTCCAGCCTGGTGTACAAAACTAATTTCAAGACAGCAAAGGCTACACAGAGAAACCCTGTCTCTGTCTAGGGAGAAAAAGAAAGGTGACATGAATATAATTTAATGTAGTGTTTGGTTTAGAGAGAAGGAATAGAAAGTCACCATTAGGAAAGCAAGCACAGCTGAGCAGCGGCCATCACTGAGATCTCAGCACTCGGGAGGCAGAAGCAGTAGGGCGGAGACTTTGAGGCAAGCCCGGAATACATACTGAAATGCTGTTTTAGGTGGGCCCCAGGGACTGAACTCAGGTCACCAGGCTTGAACAGGAAGTCCCTTCACCCACTGAATTGTCTCACTGTTCCCCAACCTGGCTGTCCTGGACTTGCTTATGTAGACCAGGCCTGCCTCGAACTCAGAAAGATCTACCTGCCTCTGCCTCCTGAGTGCTGGGATTAAAAGCGAGCACCACCAGGCCCAGCCCATAAGCTCACTTTTTTATAGGGAGAGTTTAGTGTCTCTTGGAATACTATTTAGAACAGAGGCAGGCATGAGGAGGTCCTCAGTATAGACGTGGGTTAGATGACCCAGAGAAGATACACAAAATGGAGGATGCTTGGGAGAAAGAACCAGCTGTGGAAGCCATGAATAACTAGTGAGAAAAATACAAAGAGACAAGTCATAGAGAGCAAGACTAGTGTGTGTTTCAGGAAGTAGGGGTCAGAGGTCAAAACACACTGTAACCACACAATGGATATACTGTGTGCAGGGTGGGATAGGGTGGAGAGATGGTTCTGTGACTAAGAGTACACACTGCTCTTGTAGAGGGCCCAGGCTCAGTTCTCATCGCCCACTCCAAGCAGGTCACAATCGGCCCCGGGGGTTGGGCATCCTCTGCTGGCCTCTGAGGGCACTGCAGTCATGTGCACAAAACCACTCACAAACGTACACAACTTTAAAAAATACTGGGAATCCATGCATAGTGGTACACATCATTAGTCCCCAGCTCTTGGGATGCAGAGGCAGCCAGATCTCTGAATTTGAGGCCAGGTTGGTCTACAGAGCGAGTTCCAGGACAGCCAGGGTTACACAGAGAAACCCATCTCTAAAACCCAAAGGTGGTGTTGAGCTGAAGGTGTAGCTGAGTGCTAGAATGCTTGCCTGGCATGCATAAGAGTCTTGGTCCAAGAACTGCATGGGAAATTGATGCTAGAATAAAATAAATTAAAAGTTAGGAATCCAGAACAAATTGATGTATATGTAAATCTTAGTATAAGATGGTGGCAGCTTTTTCTTCTTTTAAAATATTTATTTATCTATTATTTATGGTTTTCTGCCTGCACGTATGCCTGCATGCCAGAAGAAGGCACCAGATTTCATTATAGATGGTGTGAGCCACCATGTGGTTGCTGAGAATTGAACTCAGGACATTTAGAAGGAACAGCGAGCGAGTGCTCTTGACCTCTGGGCCATCTCTCCAGACCCAGCTATTTCAAGTAAACAATGCAAAACAAACCCAGGTCTGGCAGTGAAGGCCTGTAATCCCAGCTAGGCTGAGGCAGGTGGATCACAAGTTCAAGACCAGCATGAATAACTTAGCAAGACTCTGTCTCAAAATAAAAAGGAAAGAATGGGAACATAGGTGTATAGTCAAATGCTTGAGAAACAGGAAAGGGGATAGCTATTAAAAATAAACTTAGGGGCTGGAGAGCTGGCTCAGCAATTAAGAGCACTGGCTGCTCTTCCAAAGTTCCCGAGTTCAATTCCCAGAATCCACATGGTGGCTCCCAACCTTCTATAATGAGATCTGATCCCCTCTTCTGTCATGCAGGTGTACATGCAGTTAGAGCACACATATATATTTTTAAAAATGTAAAATAAATAAATAAATTAGGGGCTGGAGAAATGGCTCAACAATTAAGTGCACTGGCTGTTCTTCCAGAAGACCCAGGTTTGATTCCCAGGACCCACATGGCAGCTCACAACTGTCTTTAATTCCAGTCCCAAGGGAGCTGATGCCCTCACACAGTACGCACGCCGGCAAAAACCAATGTACATTAAAAAAAAAAAAAAAAGACTGTTTAAAAAATAAACTTAGTTTCTATCATATACTACAAAAGGGTGTTTTTCAAGTGGATTAAAGTAAGTGTAAAATATACCTGAAAATCATCTGGACAGTGGTAGAGAAGGCCTTTAATCCCAGCACTTGAGAGACAGAGGGAGGTGAATCTCTGAGTTCGAGGCCAGCCTGGTCTACACAGTGAGTTCCAGGATAGCCAGGGCCACACAGAAAAACCATGTCTCCGACAACAAAACCTGAAAAATTACTGCAGGAAGCTAGAACAGAACAGAACAGTGAAAGAGTACGTGCTTATCAAGCACTGAGGCTCTGGGTTCAAGTGTTTATATAAATAAAAAAACAAATCAGGGCCAGTAAGACGGCTTA